CAGCCATTTAAATTTAAATGAAGCCGCGATTATTTTAATCGCGGCTTCATTTCCCTCTTACGATCTGGCTAATCTACATGCCTCCGTCGAAGGAGGCATGTAGTCTAGACACACCCAGAGTGAAGAAGCCGCCCTAGACCCAACCAACGCATAACTCAGGCACTGCCCGGAAAGGGCTTGCCCAACAAATCCTCAAACCAGTTACAATGGCCCGTAGGGCCCAACACGCCGACACAGGCCTCATGCTAGAGTGTGCAGACCACACCGGGGCCCCAATACACTGTCCTGCAAGATGGGGAGCATCCAGGCTAACCTGTGGGAAGCTGGTGTACTGCATGCTCGTGGCAGCTCTGCAACATGGTCAGGCTCCTCCTTGCTTTACAGGAGGGGAAACTGAGGCATGGAAAGGGCCTGGATTGCACATGGTCACAGGTCACAAGGAGTCGGCGTCAGAGGCAGGCACAGAGCTCAAGGGATTCTTGCTCAGGCCACTCTGACCTCTCTAGTGAAGGAGGCACCGGTGTCCGACTTACCTTCAGATGTTCCAGCATGGTGCGTTTCTGGGCAAAGAGCAGCGGGCAGTCGGGACACTTGAAAACGCTGACCCGCTGGTTGAGCAGGTGTTGGTCGAAGTGAGAGGAGAGCAGGGGCTTGTGGGTGAAGACCGTGTCACACATTGCACATTTGTAAATCATCCTGAAAGCCAGGGGAGGGGGGAGCAAGGGGAGGGTTAGCAAAGATCAAACCGTAATTTCCCTGAATTTGGTTCAGCATGAAAAAAGCCCCCAAGGAACGTTATTTACATACCAGGGGCCTGCTGAGATCAGGGCCCCGCGGTACAGACAATCTAAGTCAGAGCCAGAGGGGAAGTGATGTGCCCGTGAGTCCCCCAGCTGCTCGGCGGCAGAGGTGGGACGAGAACTCAGGTCTCTGAGTCTTGAGCCAACGCCCTGGCCACTAGGCAACGCTGCTAATTAAGCATAAATTCAGTCTCTTGGGATTCTTCCCTAATCTCAGCAGTGCCCTGGAGTATGGAGGACACTGTGTGATCCACAGGCTTCAAACACTCCCAGGTAGCCTGCCAGCAAGCAAGGGGCGATTATGTTGAGCTCCTCAGATGGAGGGGCAGTGGGGTGCTCAGCAGGGGCCGAGATTCTAGCCCACCACACAGGGCTCTTACCCAGCACTTCCCATCCACAGATCTCACAGCCCTTTCCACTCGTGACCCCTCAGCCCCCGGCTCCCGACGTATTTAGACCCATTTTACAAACAGAGCCACAGAACAGAAAGCGGGTGGCACAACCAATATTCCCATAAGGGGCTGGGTTGCCCGCCCAGGAGAGATTCAAATGCCACCCCACTAATTAGCCGCGTGCCCACAGCTGGGTTTTGTTTCCACTGGTGGTGCACACCCGCCACTGCGTCAGTGCACATAACAAAATGTATTCCACATATGGATGGGGAAAAAATTAGAGGGAACACCAGGCCCAATGAAGGCCCTCGAAAAGCAATTTGGAGCTTGACGCAGTACAGCAGGAGTGGCCAACCCATTTAACAAAGAGCCAAAACAGCGGCGGAAAAAATGCGAAGAGCCGCACCAGTCAAGGGTGGGGAGGAGGGAAAAAAGCCCCCCAGAACAGAATTGTCAAGCAAAAACAAAAAAATAATTAAAAAAATTAAAAAGGAGGCTGCCCCTTTAAGATGGCCGCCATCTTGGGCACCATTTTTAAAACCCTGCAGCTCCGACCAGGTAAGCACAGGGAAGCCGGGGGGCCGGCAGGGGGTGGAGCCACACTTCTGTGGGGGCAAGAGCCACATGCGGCTCGGCCACAGCTGCAGAACAGCATCACTGCAGTGCTGGAGTGCAGATGTCCCCTCAGCTGCAGTTAACCCGCCTCCCAGAGGGGCGGTAGCTAGGTGGGCCCGGTCGTCGTGGGGTTGGATCAGCTTAACTACAGTACATAGTTCAGTCATGGGGATTTTTCACACCCCTGAAGTAGCTGAGTTGACCTCACTTTCAAGCATGGCCCTGGTCTCGGGTAGAGACGGACCCCAGGAGTCCTGTGCTGTAAACTGAAGGCTAATGCTGCTCTCCAGCACCCTCTAGTCCTGCAAAAACACACCCTGGGCTCTTTCGTGCAAAGCTGTCAGGGCCTCTGGCTCTGGACAAAGGCCCATACAGCCCCACGCTCCCTAACCACGTGGGGACACTGCTCTTACTGGGGCAGGTCTTTCCTCCTCTACCTCCAGAGAGATTCCTCAGAGGTCTCCCTCTCCATCTGCTGCCCAGGCAGGGCCCCGGGGTGCTTAGGAGAACGCCACGGGGGGTACTTACTTGGACTGCTGATTGCTGAAGCCTGGGTGCTGCGTGTAGATGTGCGCGTGGGCGCTGGGGGCTGACTTGAACGCCATGGGGCAGATCGGGCATTTGTGGAAAACCTCACAGTGCGAGGTCTGGATGTGGGACTTAATGGAGTTCACCCCTCCGAAGACCACGGCGCAGCTGGGGCACCTGGAAGCAAGCACACAAGGGAAGGCAGGTATTCCAGAGGGGCAGGGTTAGGTCGGGCGCCTGCCTCCTCACCAGGAACCCCCCCAGATTATGCAGATTGTGCAGATGGGACACTGGGGCTAAGTGACTTGGCCAAGGCCACAGAAGAGGTTTTGTAGCAGAAAACTGAAACTGAGTCTCCCACATCCATGGCTAGAATCCAAACCACTGGAGCATCCTTCCTCTCCTAGCTGCTGGCAGCAGGAGTCTGGCTGGCAATCCTGGATCCAGAAGGACATTTTATCAATAGGCCAGGGGCGCCAAAGGACAGGTCCATTCCTGCAAACAGTCATCCGGCCATTGTGGCTCTGCCACCGTGGCTCTGCCACCGTTCACTGCTTGGCCTCTGCTGGGATGGCCCATCCATGCCAGTGGTGACGGTGGGGCACGCTGTGGACATCTGACCCGAAAGACCTGGAACGAGCCTCGCCCCATAACCCAAAACCTCCTCGTCTCACATGGCCACCAGCCAGCCCACGGCTCAGCCATGGCCCACCAATGCTAGACTTGAACCCAAGAGCTCCTGCCCCTTCTTAAACCAGCAGGAAAATCCTTCATCATGGGTTGGACTGAGGGCAGCCAGGCGAGGGACGCAGTTTACAACTCACAGCTTGTGCCATTAGGCCAGCCCAGTGCGTCTCAACTTCACCTGCCTGGGACTGCTCCAGGCTACTCCTGTGGAGCTGGGACGGACTCAGGACCCACCCTTGGCACTGCGGGAAAGGCAGGAAGGGCACAAGCCCCCCGGGGCAGTTTAGGCTACACCAAAGCCCATGCAGCTCCTGGTGTCGCGCAACGAGAAGCCGAAAGCACCGCACCTACCTGTAGCCCACTCTCCTGGAGAGGTGCAGGCAGGCCTCCTTCAGGTGGGCCTCGAAGTTCGCCAAGAGGAAGTTCCCACCACACTCGGGGCACACGTGAGGGGGTCGGTTTTTGTGCATCCGCTGATGAGCGTTAAAGCTGCAGGTGTTGGGCATCATCATGGGACATGTCGTGCACACCTGGGGGAGGGGGGAAGCAAACACAGGTAACGTGAGCATCCATCGCGCAGCACCACACGTCCTCTCCCAGCTCTGGTTGGAGCCCCAGGAAAACCTGGGGACATCCAGCCAAGCCCATCGAGGTTAGAGAGAAGCGATGGGT